AGTCCTTTGCTGCTTTTGCAAACAGCTGGAACCATTGGGACGCTGCCGTCCTTTGGCCTGGGAGGCACTTCACCAGCCTGTAGATGACGTTGTCCACATCCACATAGGCTTTCTCTTCTTTCGGCTGGTCGGCCATGAGGAAGGCGTCTTTGATATCGAGCGTCATGGCCACGAAATCACGGCAGACGTTCAGCAGCAAGTGGATCAACATTTTCGGCACCACTAGCATGGACGTGGGCGCGAATGTTTGCTCTATATTCACGCTGCTCTTGAACTGCCTGGCCACCAATCTCGCTCTTCGAAACCAACAACCTCCTTGCTCGAGCCTGTGTTTCCACGTGAGGACAAACTTTGTCGAGATGATGTACCCTCCTTCCTTCTCTACTTCTTCTGGGGCACACTCGACCATGGCTGGGATGTCGATCATCCTGTTCACCTCATTTTATCTTGCCTCATGGTCCAATCTCTCCAAATGTGCCTCTGTGGTGATCGGAGGCTCATCCTCTTCATTCCCTCCATATCCTGCAAAGAACTCCTCGGTCAATGCCTCAGGGATCAGCTCGTCATTTATCTCTTCATCCCCATGTGCCTCAATGGCTTGAATCCCAGCGTACTGTGGTGGATACAGCCTGGGGATTTTGGTGGGGGATGAGCTTGCCATCTGCTCGACTTCACTCTCCCTTGTCGAACTTGTTCCTGCTGCTCCTCCTCTCTCTTCACATCTGTCCTCTGTTTCTTCCCATTCTCTTCGTGATCTTCGTGGTGTGTCTCCCTTGTATCATGCACCCTTCGAGGCGAATCCTCGTCATCGCGCCGCTTCGCCTCAGGCTCTTCTTGCGTCTCCTCTGCACTCCTCTTCCTTGGGGTCTCTCGGCCAATGGCTGGCGTTGTGGGCGCTGCCACGGGAAGGCCTGGTGTTGTAGGTTGTGGCCTCAACCCCGGCGCCGGAGTGACCACTCCTGCTGCCACTGCCTCAGTAATGGCCTTCGTCTCCTCTTCCGTGGCTTCGTTCTCCGATGTCGGCTGCCTGTACCTTTGTGCTGAGCCACCATGCTTTATCATGATTCCCTGTGGCGAGTACGACCATGGCAACCCCTTGGCAATGATCATGTCGGTTGCCCTGAACGAGTCTTCAACTGCCAGCCTTCTGATCGTCCTCGCTTCAAAAGCTCCTTCAGGTGTGAGGATGATGTGGTTGTCGTTCGAACTGTGCTTCCCGACCCAAATACCTCTTTCGAAGGTATCACTGGCCTTGTATTTCGTCAGTCTCTTGAACATCACCGTCTCCCCATACAATGCCAGTTTGCCTCGGTACGCATGTCCTGTGGCGAGCTCGTAGCTGGTCTTTCCGATTTTCTCCAGGACTCGAAACCTGTTGATCAGGAATGAAGCATACCTGAATGACCAAGGGTACATGTGCAGGTTCCCCATGATCTTGATGAAGGCCATCCCTTCGGCATAGGATCTCAGACTGTTGGCCATCTTCTTCATCGTCTGTACGGCCCTTTCGACTTGTCCATTCGAAGCGTGCTGCCCACTGCCTGTCAGCCGCACTTCACACGTCAAACCCATTACTGCTCTAGTCTCATAGACCTTTCTGAGTCGCCCTGGAAGATGCACGGGTCTCTGCCACTGTTCTCAAGGGAGAATCGGATCACCTCCTCAGTGATTGTCTTGAGACTTGCTGTACCCTTTGTGGGTATGGGTACCACATGTATTGCTTTTGTCTCAGATGATGTCATCACCAAGCAAGTCCCAAACTGATCTGAGCGTTCTGCTACCTTGTCCACTGGCGTATCCTCCATCCTTTTCTCTTCTCCAGTGTAGGTGTAGCAGAAATCCAACTGAATCAGATTCTTGCCCAGGTCTTCCTTCTCTTCCCGTGCAACGTAGTGATCTTCCTTGGCCCGACTGGCCACACAAGCTTGGCACCAGGGAGCGTAGGGAATGTGGGCGACGAAGTGTGCTTCCTGATCTTTTCTTGATGGCAGTTTTGGCTGTCCCAACATTTGAGGCCTCCTGTATTGCTCCTCATACAACTTGTTGGCGATGCCAAGCTTCATCTGGTTTTCCAGATTGGTGCGAAATGCCATCAATCGATCCAGCAATCGTCGTTTGCTGCCGCTGTGTGGAAGTTCTCGCTCCTTGCAAGCCATTTGCAGCTCCTTGGCGGACATTTTGTCTGTATATACCACTTCATCGAGTTCCACCTCATTTGGTCTTGATGCAACCACCATCTTCTCGATGTCCTTCGCATCTATCTGCATTTCCAGCTCTTCTTCCTCTTCTCGGTCATCCTCAGACCAGTCCAACCTTCCTTCCTTCTCTCTTGTTCTTTCTTCAGGGAACGGTTTCTTTGGAACTTCTGAATCTGGTTCCCAGTAGTCTTCCATCTTTGATGGGGCGAAGAAGCTGATTGTGCGAACTGGTCGTCCTCCAAGCCCGATTCTCCGGAATGCAGCTTCTCCCAAAGACATGTAGTCCTCTTCATTCTCCACCTGTGTCCACATCCCACCATCGTCCTTGACCAAGGTCAGTCGTGATTTCCACTTCTCTTCAATTTGGCCTCGTGGATCTGCAAGCGTTGTTGCGATGGGATCACTGTAGGCAACTATGCCATTGGGCAACCGATGCCAACCTGGTGCCATTTCCAAGTCTTGGATATGTTTGCTTGGTGTTCCTCTCAGCGCCAACACCCTTGCTTCTTCCTTTGCTGCTCCTTGGTTCTCCTCGATGCCAACCACGTAGATGTGTGCAGCAAATTGCAGTGATGCCATCTGGGACTAGCACCACCGGCTCTATGCAGTCCATGAACTCCTCAACCTCACTCCAACATTCTTTTGCGTCCTCAAGCTTCTCCTCCATGATCTCAAACCTGATCATGCCAGCGCGCCATGGTGGCGTTGGCACGTCCTCTGATCCTCTGGGCGTCGTCAAGTCGAAGATCTCCAATGACCTCGATTCGGGCGGCGTCTCCAGTCGAACCATCTTCACACTGGAAGTAGTCACTGCTGCTCCTCCATGGCCGGATGATGAGCTTGCTCCACCGGGGTTTGCTCCAGTAGGCGATTGCTCCTCCACCTGGCTCACTTGGGCGCGTTTTGGCGCCCAGCAGTCCTTGGCGCAGTGGCCAACCTTGCCGCAATTATGGCATGCTCCGGCCTTTCCCTTTGCACCCTTCTCAGGCGCCTTGCCTTTGATTCCAAAGCCTCCCTTCTCCCATAGAGACTTTCCTTTCTCGCCACCTCTCCATGAACCTTTGCCATCAACCTTTGGTTTTCCTTTCTCTTTTCCCTTCGACTTGCCCTTCTGATCTTTGCTTTTGCCCTTTCCTCCTTTCTTCCCTTTGTCCCCACGGATGTAGTCAACCTCCATGGGTACGGCCTCGTCCACGCCAGCTCTGGTCGGCATGCTCAGACTGTTGGAACTGTCCCATCGGGTGGAAAGGGCTTCCAACTCCATGACCTTGTTCTTCACCTGCTCATGGGTGGTGTCATCACTGATCCACAGTTGCAGATGGGCTCGTAGGTGAGCTGGGACTGCCTGCAAGATCGATGCCACCTTTGCATCATCAGCGTACGTGTGGCCTGAGATCCTCTCGTACTCGGTGATGATGGTCTCATACTGTGGAAGCTGCTCAGAGATCGTCTTGCCCTCTGCAAACTGGACCCTCGACAACTGAGTCAGCAATGCTAGGGCCCGTGCACGAGTGGCCGGTTGCATCTCCTTCAACAACCGTTGCCATGCTTCGAAACCATTTTCGGCCTTGATGTGTCTCACCAGTTTCAGCGGGCGATTCCTCAGGTAGCTGGTGAGGACGGCGTACAGCCGCACAGCCATGGCCTTTGTCTCATCAGTCATATCATCAAAGTTGAAGTCACCATTCAAGTTGTCCTCAACCATCTTCATGCTGTTCGCCATGTTGGGCTCGATGCTCTTCACGTAGTTGATGAAGCCGAACTTCCAGTCGTTCCATTGCTTCAATTCTTGATCTCGAGTGTCCGGCTTGAAGATGTCTGGAGTCTTTACATGTCTTGACCATGCAGCCGCACTCTGATGAACTGTCAGCCTTTCAAGGGCTTGTGAGATCTGGCGTAAGCTCTCCTCAGCCATGTTCCTGATGTAGGGAACGTAGGGACAAAAGACCCTTGTGTCCACCTTCGGTGTGGGCTCGTTCTCCTGCTCAAGATGTAGTCCTGCGTACCCTGCCAAGCTAACCAGGTCCCAGTTAGCCAAAAGCTCGCAGGCCTCCTCTGGTGTGGTCTCGTCTCTGAACCTTTCGGCTCTTTTGATGAACTTCCAAGTGGCCAGGACAATCACAACCAGACACTTCCTTTTCTTCTTCTTGTTCTTTCCACTGCCACGCTCTTGCAAGTGCAGCGAGGCTTTGACACTCTTCTCGCTCCTTGCCCAAATCAGCCTACCCACGTAGTTGTCGCTGTCCACCACGACCGTGTGATAGTGGCGGATGCTCCTCTTGCTGACCAAAGGGGTCACAGTGCCCGGGAGGTAGTAGTTGGCCTCTTGTGTCCAGTGATCCCCTGCGCTCCCAGCGATGCAGGCCAGCAGGAGCAACTCAGTCAGCCAAAAGCCAGTAGTGCTTGCGCCCTTGGAAGCACGCCTATGGCGGATCGTGGTGACAAAACGTGGGTAGCGGAGGCCGGCACTTACGACCAGCGCTCCGCTACCATGCGAAGCGTGAACGCTATTTTCGCTTGGGCCTAATGCGTCAGCGTGTTCTCGATTTGTGCGTGCCATGTCTGAGGGTCTGTCTCTGGATTGTTATCATGTTCTGACACAGTTTGTAATTTAGTTCAACAAAGACGGGCGCTTAAAAGCACTGAATTTATTGGTGTTCAATGTTTTCTCTAATACAGGGTCTCTAAATTAATTTCAAGTAGACTTGCTATTTGTAGCCGGTTTCCAATTCTAACATTGTAAAGGTCGACAAATTAGTTGACAATAGCCAAACAATCAAACAAAGATAATTAGGATCTGGCCTTGGCCTCGCTGGCACTCTCTTGTGCACCAGGTCGGGAAACCTGATCACAGCTCAGCTATCCAGAACCAAACCCTGTCCGTTGGTGATTTCTTGGACATGATTCTTGCAAGACAAAGACAAAGGCGTCAAACTTGCGCAAGGCAAGCTTTACAAAACATGCACATAAATAAAACGTGTCTAATGACCCATGGCAAGTCACTGATTGGTCTGTTTCATCCCATGATAATTTCCTACAATATGACAATGCTGGAGAATCCTGGTCCATTCTGCGCCAACTCTTTCGCAAAATGTTCGCGACTGACGGCTTACTTTGCCCATGCCTTTTTAGACAAATTTTCTACTAGACCCTTTACCTAAGGGTTTTGAACGCTGCTATGATGTGAGCGTCTGCGAAAACTCAGAAAATGCATTGACTTGCATATTTCACGACCGCTTTCTAAGTTTCCCTAAAATTCTAGCAACCAAACCATTAGTGCGAGCGCTTCTTCAAGGAAGCGTGAGCTATCCTGCGTCCTGGGTAGTTAAGTAGCTAGTAGCTACCTCTCCCTTGCTTAATTACTTTATATAAGTAGGCGCCTGAGGGGAGCAGACACGGCCTCCAGATCTCGAAGCTCACTGATCATTGCCTCCAACTCCGTCCCTGGCTTCACGCTAAAGCCTGACACAATGGACATGTAGTACCGCTCGCAGTACCGCAGTGCATTCGCCAAGCGGTTTGGCATGTTCTATCTTCCTTCTCCGTTCTGTGCTGGTCAAGGCCAGGCCTGAAGAGATGTCGTCAGTGCCTGAGGTTTCCCTGGCCGAAATGTGAGTGCAAGGAAGCTAGCAGTTTCCTTTGCGGCAAATTGCCTAGGCACAGGCTGAGCCATTAAATGCATTCTGGCGCGCGTGCCTTGGTCGACTAATTCAAGAGCAGCAGTGCGCCAAGGCTGTGTTCAAGCCAAACGTCCATCTATTTGAGGCAATCAACGAACGATAGACAAGCTGAGTGTTCTGCCTTTTCGTGGAAGCCTTGGACATACTGAAAACGATGTTTTTGAGGTATCAAAAAACACTTTCCAAATTGAACCCACAGGCTGCATCACTCCTCCGCTCTAAGTTTACAAAAATGCATCCGGTGTGATATTTGGGGTGGAAAAGTGCTTCTGTGATGGCTTGGGGCTGCAATGATATACGGCGACCTGTCCTGTGATACCAGTGCAGTGATATGGTTTTTGCTTCCCTAAAGAACAAATTGATACAAATTGTTCAGACCTTCGTGTCCCTGAGTCCTATATTCTGGGCCACATCTATTTGTTCGCAATCGGTTCTGTAAGCGTGCTGACGGCAGTGTGCACTGGAGCCGCGGCGTCTGAGCCCTTGCACGGAATAAGTTCCGATTCAGAAACTACGATTCAGAAACTACGCCACCGAAGCTACGATTTGAACAAGCACATCAAACACACAGGCTCACACAAGCGAAGCGTAAAAACAAATTCAACACGAACACGGCAAACGCCTCATCATGCGGATGGGGGCAGTGGGGGGTGACACGAAATGCAATGCAGTGGATTTCCCTTGGAAGGAACACGGTCTCGAGAGAGGTCCAATCGGACGATGCTTGGACACGAGTCGAATGCAGTCGCGCTGTGAAAGCAAGCGGCTTTTCTCAGTCTTGAGCCAAATGTATCGGTCATCGTATAAACATCAAGTGTGAGACCATACAGAGGTTAGTTCACATAAGAACGAAACACAAAACACACACAATTGTCCTAACCTCTGTGCATGAAATTGCCTTGGTCGATATTTGACAAGGAGTTCTTTATATGTATAACTATTCTCTTTTTCGAGAGTGTTTATTTTCGATCTTCTATGTACAGGGAAGTATCTGCAGATCCTAGCGAAGGTGAGACCGAATGCATCAAATGATTGGAATCAAGTTCTTAGGCGTCAGAGCTGCCGGTAGCCGCAGAATGGACGTGCTTCACGGTCACTTGCAACGGATAGCGCCAACTCTGATCATTACCGCCGATCAAAAGTGCCTCGTGTGGCAGGCGCTTAAAACGCTCACATGATTCCACAGTGTAAGGAATCTTCGGAGCTGGTCTGATAGCTCCATCTCTGGCGCCTAGTTCTGTTCGGTCACCGAGCGCAGGATCAAAGACAAGGCTCTGGTATTGTTCATGACGAACGGTCGCTCTTAGCGTACTTGTGACATACCATGTGTTGATGGCTGTTCCACTTGATCCAGGAGATCATAGCACCGAAGATTGAGTCGTATTCGGATGGTTGAAAACCATCGAAATACTTGGATATCTCAACATTGTTTGCGCGGTCTCTATGTCGCAGATGTTCATTAATCCATTTGACCTCAAATTCTGCCGGGGTTGAGCTGTGAATGGAGGCGTTGACCCGAAGGTGCTTCATCAGAATGGAAAGTGTATTTAGTATTCCCGGAGACGTGACAACGATGCTGCTTGGACAAGGACGTGATGACTTGTCTCGGAATACCAGTGGTCAAGAAGAGTTTCCTCGTAAGTTCTTGCAGATAGGAGATAATGGTCGCAGGATCGCGATCGGCCGTAAGCTCACAGCTCTCATGACAGAATTGATCGAACCGGGTCAGTGGCACTGCTTCTCGGTGAGGTGCATGAACCAGCGTAGTAGCTGGTAGGAACCACGGAAGTCCAAAATCTACTGCATTATTGTAGCTCTTGTAGTCATCGAGGGGTAGAGTTCCGGTGCATGAGGAAAACGATCACTTGCGACAGCATAGGAGTGAGGTTCATATTGGTCATCAGTGTCTTTGTTCCGAACTGCCAAGTACGCGACGGAGAATGGACCTACGGACTTGATAGCGCTTGTGTATTCGGCAAGGACATTACGAAGCCGGCGTAAGAGAATCTCAAACTTGCTAATGAATGTCACGAATTCTTGGTTGCCTCTACGGTGATTGAAGAAATTCAAAGCACGCTTCGGAGGAAAACGTTCTGAGCTCCCTTGACGAAATACGGTCTTAAAGTCTGCAGGAAGTTATTAACTCAATTCTCGGGGTCTTTAAGACGATCATTATCTAGAAGCTCTCTATACATCGTGGCGTCGGCAGTTAATCTGGACTTGAGTAGTGGTCCACGACGCTCGGGCTTATCAATGCTATAGTTATCGACAACCAGTCATCGATTGCCTCCTCGTAGCTAAACCATGTACTCGTCCGTCAAAGAGAGGCGGCAGCTTAGCGTTCATACGCAAGGACATCGACTCCTCGTGGGATTGACGTGTTGCAAATGCGAGCATGGCTGCCATGGCACTAGGACTTACACTCGACCAAGGAAGGTCCGTAGCATCATCCCCTGACGTAGACATCACGAGCAGGCTCCGCTACCACTATTGACACGAAGTGCAATGCAGTGGATTTCCCTTGGAGAGAACACGGTCTCGAGAAAGGTCCAATCAGACACTGCTCGGACACGAGTCGAATGCAGTCGCGCTGTGAAAGCAAACGACTTTTCTCAGTCTTGAGCCAAATTTATCAGTCATCGTATATACATCAAGTGCGAGACCAAACAGAGGTTCAAGAAAAAACGAAACACAGGGGGGTCGGGGGCGGGTGATAACGACGTGCGGTTTCTGGTTGTGAACAAGGTGAGGAAACACATTTCCTTCTTGGGGTAAACGCTATGGTTGCCGAATCAGGCGATAGTTTCCGATCCATAGTTTCCGAATATTGACCGCCCTTGCACCCTCTTCCTTGCAACTGATCACGCTAACCAGCCTTTAAAAAGCACAAGAGTACTCTGAAATAAGCGAACAGCCCAATACAAACTAAGGCCAAACGTACACATATCGTCACAAATCAAGAAACATCAATAATCACAAGTCACCTATAAGAGACTTGGTTCTAAATAATGGGCTCTTCCTTCGCAACTGTCTTTCACGCGTTCACAACACTCTCGCGGTTTGCGTTTTGGCTTTTGCGAGCTGCGTTCTGCGCAACACCACTTTCTCAAGCTGTCGTGGACAGAACTGATCTCTCAAGCTTCCGCGAACGAAAAGTTCGCAGAATCGTTCGCGACTTTTGTGTTTATCTTTTGCAAAGGTATCCTACCAGGTAAAGCACACATGCACAGAATGCTATTGAGTTGGCGGCCATCGCTACTAGGAGACAGAAAACAAACACACACTTATAGAAATGCGTACGGATGTGAATGCGGTGCCACACGCCAGCCTGAGTTAAAAAAACCTGAGATGCCAGGAGGATAGGTAGGAAGTTAAAGGCCTTTGCTTTTAGGTTGGAGGTCATTGCAAGGCCGTTGGAGGTCAACGCCAAACAAAATCGACAAGTAGTAGGTTAAAGGCCACGCTTTTAGGTTGGAGGTCCTTGCAAGGCCGTTGGAGGTCAACGCCTAAGGTTGGAGGCCGTCGCTAGTAGGTGGAAGGTAGTAGGCGGTCGCCAGTGAGTTGGAGGCCACAGGAGGCCAGCACAACGAGTTTACCGCAAGTACCTGCGCCCACCCCAACTCTGCAAAGCATCCAGTCTGACAGAGTGGACACGCCGGCCCTAAGGGCGACCGGCATAGAAACTACTAGAAGGACACCAAAAATAGGAAGAGGCCATAGCAACGAGGTTACGGGTTAGGAGGCCCACAAGACACAAAGCAGCAAAAACAAAAAACAAACAAAAAAACAACAAATCAAAATCAACATCTAGCTCGTGACTCCAAAAGTTGCTCAGCAACATCGTGGTACACTTCAAGATTTGTGCGTGTCATACATTCCAGAAGGAACCTTGTGACTCCAAAGGTGGAACACACACACACACTCGAGATAGCGCGTACTGAACTGAAAGCCACTCGCCAACCGGCAACCTGGGCCACCATGTTCCTGAGAAATCATGTAACGGGGCCTGAGCATCATATAAGTTGAAGCCGGTAAGGAGACCTCCAAAGCCAAGCGGAACCGCGACAGAGGGGCGACGGACCGTGCAAGTCTGCAGAATGCATAATTAGCCTTTTATGGAAGATTGGAGTAACAGCTTGGAGAGCATCACAACAGAGCAGGTACGTCACGGTGATCAGCCGTGATATCTGCATGTACTGTGACCACTTCGTTGGACCATCGCGCGCAATACATGAATATTCCCCCTGCTTATGAGTAAACAAATCAACGGATTCCCGGTGATTCCAAGGGTTTCACCCACACACTCACACACTTGCTACAGTGCTACAGTACATGGGAGGTTTTGGCCGCTGCGGCAAAGAAAGCTGACTTCATCTATCCGAGAAACAAGACTGTTTGAGAGGGGCGCTCGACAAACACGATGCCGCTTGATTTTCATATTCATGCATGCATGCGCGCACGTGATGTAAATAGACAAGGCATGATGCGGAAAATGCAGCCCTGGTCGTGGTCGCTGCTGTACATGCTGTATATTGGGATGGAAAATGATTCGTTGCGCATTGAATCCTTCTTGAAGAACCTTCAAACCTTGTGCCCTCTCATCCCTGGGTGTAGTTGCAGGGCTATTGTTGCAGTTCTTTGGACGCCCTCACTGAAGGCGGCGGGTTCCTTCTTCCTAATCCAAGTCCCGTCGACAACACCCTCAGTCTCCAACAGCCTTCAAACCTGAAGTTCTCAAACTGCTTCACGACTGAAGTCCCCAAAATTGAAGGAGATTCCAGGCCTCAAGCCATCCTATATAGCCCCAAACAGTCCAAAACCTTTTCGTACCCGAACTTGTGTTTCCACATGTGTCCACAGAATCACAGAACCTTCAATATCTTCAAACCTTAAACATCCGTAAACCCCCTTGCCTTTGAGCCACCAAAACTGATTTTGGTGCTCAACTTCCTGAGTGGATGGCTCTCAAAACATTTGCGGGCGATAGCATCTTCCTGAACCCAAAAGCCCTATAATATATTCAAGTCCTCTAAGCCCAAAAGAACATAAAGAGAGCTCATGTTCGGTTCAAAACCACGTTGAGCTTCCCAGAAAAAGTCTAGGAACCAAGTCAATCATGCGAGGAATTCATCAAGGAAGCTGCCCCCGCCCTCAGGCGGGGAGATCTTTCTTGGAGAAGACTGAGCTCTTGTACGTTCCAGCTACAGTAGTAGCTTCCGTTCGTCCCTACTAGCTGAGCTATTATCGAATCTACCTACTAGCTACCCTTGCACGTACCCCCTTAACTGAAAACATGTTAAAACATTTTGAAACAGTTTGAACAAAGGTCAGGTACCACATATTGATATTCTTTATTGAGTCAGGAGTTGGAGCGGGAGCTGAGGCGGCAGCTGATTCGAAAGCACGGCGACCGCAAATCCTGAGACTGCAAGTCCCTCGCGAATCCATCTGGATTGGCATTGGGACTGACTATCAACAGGCCGCACGTGTTGCCTCAGTGTGGCGAGTCTCATCACTTGGCCGCAAGGTGGCTTGTTATTGGAAGCACTCAGATATATGATCGTGCGTTGTCATGCACATGTTGCCTCCTGATCCATGTTCACAATCATCATCATCATCATCATCTTTTCTTTCGAAACGCCCTCTGTCGAAGAGGTTGCGTTGACCTCATGTGACACCAGGTCAGCACTCCAATCCCGTAGGATCAGTTGAATGATCGAGCCAGCTGCAAGGCCAATTGTTGGCTAGAGCTTTGTGCGTTGGACAGCTGGGTTGCTCGAAGAAATTTATGGAGCACACCAAAATTGAGCAAACATGGGCATGTGCGCTCGTCCCACCGCTCTTTTGGAGCAAAGTATGGATGACAGGCGCATACCCGTCCCGGTAGCGCCTGCATCAAAAAGTGTTGCGTCATCCCCTCAGTCAGCAGCTCAGCTTCAGCAAATAGCGCACCATGGTGGTTTCGAAGATGATCCAGCAGGCTCGGCGGCTGTGAGCTGCAGAGGGCGCAATTGAACACCAAAAAGTGGCAAACATCCGGCCAGCGCAGCAAGAAGTCTACGTCGAGCCGGTCGATCGACGAAAGCCAAGTTGCATTCCGAGGGCGGCCTGGACTGAATGCACGCCGAAGATTCTCCATCATCTGGTCACGGCTCAGCAGCGCCAGCGAGCCCTCTTCATGGGGTGGTGGATCGACATCCACCATCATAGCCCCTCCATGTTGGCTAGTGACGGGAGGCTCGGCATCATTGAGTGTGAACCATTTGTCTCCGTGCCATAGCGCCGTTTGATAGTGACCTGCATGCGGTTCCGCACCCAAATGGAAAGAAACCGCAACCACTTCAAAGGGGACCCTGTGAATGTCCATGGAGGAGTTCGTGAAGTAGGGTAGGAACACGGGCGAGGTCCATTGTAGCTTCTGAAAGCTTTTGCGTCCGTCTTGATCAAATCGATCAATTTGCATGCGCAACAAGTCTGAAACCCCAGCCAGTGCTTGCAGTCCATACGACTCTAAGCTCCATGATGTGATCAGATCCTGAAGTTCAGTGGTGTCACCATTTCTGCCGTCGCAGAGATAGAGCCTCATTGGGCAGTAGCGTGAGCCGCTATCTACTGTTCTCACCTGATCATCAGCATCCACTCTGGCCTCCCAGAGATTGCTAACAAAGCACGGCGCTACCAGGGAGGGCAAGTAGTGAGTAAAGTCAACCAAGTCATGCTGTTCGAATGGCCTATCCCACGTCTGTACCAGCGTCAACCACGGTCCATTGGACCATAGAAGCAAGGGCTCCATGGGAGAGGATGTGAGCAGCATCTGAAAAACATCCGGCAGGATATAGCCCATTGACTGCTGGTCAAGGGCCCTGTTTGGATGGATCCCCATAGCAGCCCTTGCACTGTTGCATTCATATAGCAAGCATTGCCCGGGTTGCATAACCCCCTGAAGAACAACTGACCTGCCTAGGGAATGGCCGATGGCGAGGCTTGCTATCTCCAGCAAGCAAATTAATCGCCTCGTCCGTACATTCCTCTGGAGGAGGGTTACAGAACAAGCACTCCGAGGCTCCTCCTTTGTTAACATTCCGGATGAAATCAACCAGGCCTATATAGGGGATCTTCTCCGTATAAGTGAAGCCTTTGCTGCTCCCCTATCCAACCTTTTTGCTTTTGTGAAGAGTGGGCATCCAGCATGTCCCTTCATCACTCACAAACAGCTCGCCCTCTATGCAAACCCCCGATTCTGGCAGTATGGTCTCCTCGCTTTCATCGCAAGGTGCTGTTCCTTTGATAATCAACACAGACACCAGGGTCCAGGAACAGCACAAGCAGAGGAAGGAAAATCACAGACGACAAAGGAAAAAGATGTCGACGCCCTCACCTTTATGCGCACTGTCATCATGTCCTTTGTTAGGGGAATGGAGCATGGGGAACAGACGCTACCCACCAATGACCTCTTTGTCTACCTGCCAATACAAATCCTGCCTGACCTGGTCGTAGCCATGGAGCGGCAGGGCTTCACGCCCGCGGAAGTGAAGGGGGGCTATGGTTACCGGCCAAAAGAAGAGGATGCTGAGGATAACCCCTTGCTCGTGGTGGGAGTGCACACTAAAGACATTGTTTACGACCGGTACCCCCGAATGCCGGATACTTCCTGGGCAGAAAGAGCCTACTTTAGTGGTGCCCTTGACCCGTCTTTGGGACAAGCTTTCTCGTTTCCCTCCCTTCTGCAGCTGAGGCTGCGCATCGAAGTCCCCTTGTGGAGAGACCTGACAACTGCCAAACACCCCACTGCAGACTTGCCTGCAGAAGAAGACTCTGCCTCTGATGCTACCGGGTCAGCTGAACGGTCGCCTAGGCTTGCTCTCCCCGTGCCAGTGGGGCTTGCTGAACCACCAGAAGTTGGCACTGAAGAAGCCACGGAGGACGAGGACACGGCGGCTGAACCCAACTATGCCTTTGCCAAGGGATATGGACGGTTCGGCATAGGTTATACTCGACTAGCAACGGCGCTCAGCAATTTTGAGCAAGGGAACATCGAAGCAGAAAGTGCTGTAGTGGCTCAGTGGCTGACCTCCGGGCTACGGGTTGCCATGTCCCGCACAGGGTGGCTACTACCACCATGGATATCCCTTCACTCCGAGGATGGCAGATCGCCCATACAACCAATATGGCTCACATCTCTATACCGAAGAACGATGGGATCAGCTCTGTGCATGGCTCACTGGGAACCCCAACTTTAGATTTCAACTCGCGGACCACAAGCAGGCGCTTCGGGACCACATGGGCTACAGTCAAGAAGCCTCCGACCCAAGTAATAAAGCTCGCCGGACTGTCCCCCTGCCAGGATCGGGAAGCTCCTCGTCGGCAGCGTGGTCTTCCTGGCACAGTAGGCCCCCCCCATCGCCCTCGCCCTATGGGTGGTCCTATGGTTGGTGGCAGTAAGGTAGTCGGCAGTAGGGGTCATCCCACACAGCAACCGTCTCCGCGTCGCTCGATCCTCTCCAAGAGGTGGGTGGCCTTAGCCACCCTCCTTCTTGTGGCCTCATTGTCATCATAGTGTTCGCAATGGCTATATCTTCGGCGTCTCAGTAGTTTGGCTCAAGCAAACTTAGCAAGCACGCTCGAACTACCGCCTACGCGACAATGCCGACTCACCCCTCCTCCGTGATCACATGTTCTCCAGCAGGCGGCCCAGGTGAGTTGCCAATGGAGTCCGTTGTAAGGTGGCTTGGCGCATCCGTTCCAGCACCAGCTGCCAGACTCCTGAGTGGGTCATCTCCTGCCAGGCTGAGTGCATCTCGGCCGAGTGTCGATGTGTCATGGCCAGTGAAAGGCGCCATGGAATCACCTGTGGATTGGCTGATTGCTCCTTCTGCAGGTTCTGCTGTATTTGGGCGTTGGGTCGGAGAGCTCCGAACCGAATGACAATGGAGTGCTGCTGGAGCAAGGTCAGGATTTTGGTGAGTAGGTTGATCGTGTGTGCCATGGTGAGGGCTTGTCGGTCCGGATCGATCTCCAGTGCTTTCGTGGTGGTGTTCCGTTGCAGAAAGCTGAATCGGTGATCGTTGCTGTTCTCCCCCAGTGTGAGGTACTGAAACTTGATTAAAGTCTTCACCAAGTCGTCTTCGGGTCGAGCGGCTTGAAGCTTCCTGACTCTGTTCATCAGCTCTTCCAGCAGGACTCGTAGGACCTTGATTCTGAGCGGTAGGGCGCGGTCCTTGGGTTCCGTCAGATGCCATTCCTTGGTGGCTTGCATCATCTTCAGCCTGATGCTCCCGGGACCAAGGCTCAAAAAAAGCACGTAATCCTGCTCCATGGCTAAACCTCTCAGAGCGTCTTCGTGACGAAGGGAGAGGCGTGCCAAAGTCTGTACGATGCTGCGGAGATCCTCGGTTTGTTGGGATCCCTGTTGGTTCTTGTTGGATTTGCCTTTTCCTCGTCCCTTGTGTTGCTTTCTGTCTTTTGGACTGGCGCCGGGAGCCGTCCTCGTCCTCCGTGGAAGACGTGAGGGCCTTCAGGAACTTAGATGGTGTCTTAGGTTCAGTAACTGTGCGCGCAGGTGAGAGGTGAAGGCTTTGAAACATTTATACAACCTTTCCGTCGCTTGCTGGCTGGGGGGGCTAGCAGCTCATTCCACAACCTTGCCACTCACTCCATGCAGCTCATTCCACAACCTTGCAACTCACTCCACGTGCGTGAGCACTCAAAGCCAAAACCCTAGATGCATAGCAAAACCCCGGATCAGAAAAACAAGACATTGAACCGGGTTCTGGTCCATGTCCATGGTGGAGACGACAAAGCAATCCGGCCAGTTGAAGGAGGATTGGACACTCGTGTGTCATGTCCACCAAGTATCTATAGAACAGTGGTCCACGTGTATAGTCCCGTGCATGTTGATGACGAAGATGTAGGTACATGTCACGGGCCCCCACTGATCGGGACATAGGAGGTGCAGGGATGGACATAGCACCGTAAGGTCCAGCTTGAGGGCCTGGGTAAGGACGGTGTCGGCATCCGAGCGTCGAAACTTGTGGAGGTCATGGTGCGCAAAGAGGGCCAGGTGTGTGAACAATGTACAAACATGTTGTCCACCGGGAGGTCGAGTGCAGGTGCATCCCAGTTTGGTCAAAGCCGTTTGGGTTTGAAGCCACTCTGCATACTTTGTCAACTCTGCCCAGCGATCTCCGCGCTCACTTCCCAAGTGTCGTAGTAAGGAGGTGGAGCTTTGGGAGAGATGCCCACAAATACCACACCGAAGTCCGAGTCTACGAACCAGGCTTTTGTATCCCACCAAATGATCGAAGGTCCCACCACTCAGTCCCGCCAAGATCACAGGGTGATGCCATGGAAATGGAACTTCTGCTTGATCCTGGATGTAAGTCTCACATTGATTCCCCTCAATGCGCAGCTTCAGGGCCTTCAAGGTCAGGAATGAGGCGTCACAGTGAGCGCATTTCAATTCCCCAGGGACCTGATCACGTAGTGGTTGGAAGGTCTGTTGAACCGTGGTGTGAGGATGTTGCATGCTGAGATGCTGATGGAGACCTGCGGCTGCTGCGAACTCACTGCCACATACCGTGCAGCTGAACTGTGCCTGAGTCAAGTGGGTACCTGTCAGGCTGGGCTCTGGTGTATCCGGATTGGATTGTCTGTACTTCCGGTCACCAAGGGCGAGCCCCAATTGCTTCATGACTGCGCAGGTGTGGGTCTTCGATTTGAACTCCTTCTTGCAGTAGTCACAGGGTGATTGAACCCGAGCCCTCGTGATGTTGGGCAACACTTGATTGATGAGGGAGGCAGCTTCAGGATGATCTCTACTGACATGTGCGCTCATCTGTTGTGTCCGCGCCGCCCAGTATCCACAAAGAACACATCAATGTGTGAGAAGGTATAAGGTTTCCATCTTCCTTCAGCAGCTGCAGATCTCCGGAGTCATAGATATCCAGCAGCCGTCTGCGGTGTTGCTGCAGGATCAACGGTGGGGCCTTGGTCGTATCAAGACCAGAACATGAGCACGTTTGGATGTGATGTCGTAGATTTTGCCAACTGATGAATGCTACACCGCAGTGTCTACACTACAGCGTCCATGAATGGTGTCCCGCGCTATGCTCAATGTAGGTCCCTGCAAAACTGCAATCCCATGTACATGTACCAAGTGTCTGCAAAAAGTGAAGTGATGTTTGAATTGCATACCACATGTTGAACATTCCAGGCTGGCCTCTGCAAGCTGCTGAGGATCATTGTCAGGCTGCGCCATGAAGTCCTGCAACCAAATCTGTGTGAATTCCAGAGCTTGTTGTAAGTGCAAAACGCTGGAGCGCTGAAGGATGTCATTCTGTGGCAAGTGTGCTTGTCTCTCCTTGCAGGGCACCAACAGGGTGCTCCAGCCCACGTGTGCGCAGGAATGCTCGATGAGAATTGCTGGTCAGGAAGGAGTGATCACCTCCTATGTGACGAAGCTGACTCATCATCTGCCTTTGAAACATGATCAATGTACTATCCGTCACTCCAATGGCGTCAATGCCATAAATGGAGATGGGGAACAGACAGGTGTACCATAATTCACATTTTTGTGCCATACTGATGTGATTCCCCTTCTTGAACCAAGGTAGCAGTTGCCGAAATCTGTGATTGCATGCGGCCAAACGATGCTTCATCGTCAGGGTTTGTTTGAGTTTGCTGATAGCTGATCTTCACTCCCAAGTAGTCGTGTGATGTTTTGAGTGGAATGTCATACATCTGAGTTGACCCGGGAATCTGCAGCGTTTGTTGATGCAGCCGACGACGCAAGTATTGTTTTTGCACCATGCGTTTCTGTTTTCCACGAAGGTCCAGGAGTACAGCCGATTTGTTCAGGTTGACGGTCATCCCAAATTTAGTCAGTGTATCCAATACGTGGCCCATGTTCTTTAAGCCTTGCTGAAGTTCATCCATGCTGGTGACCATCATCGGCATAGATGATGACCATCATCTAACGGCATAGAACGTGCATAGATGACCATCATCGGCATAGAACGTGCAGGAGTTTTGCATCCAGGCTGTGGAGGTGAGCTTTGCTACCTCGTTGAGGATCAAGGCCACAAAGGAGGCCCAAAAGAAGGGGGCACCGCGGCAACCCTGTCTGACACCCTTATATGTATTGACAGTGCTGGTGTGACCTTTGTATGTCAAGATGTATTTTGTGTCAACATGCCATTGTAGTAGAACTCCCATGATGCTGGATGGAATGTTCAACAGTTCAAAAGCTTGTTGCAAGGATGCTCGAGGCATATGATCAAATGCCTGTGTGAGGTCCAAAAAGAGCTGACACCCACCGTACACCAAAGGGCGTGTCCCTGAGGCTTGAAAATCTGTACGACCTGCTTGTATTTCCACCGTTCGCTGAGCTGCTCCACTTCCTGGACATGATGGACGACACGGCAAATAGCATCCCGTGTTCCACGTCCAGGCAAGTATGCAAACTGTGGAAACGTCCGCAAGGTTGGAAGGGCATACTGTCTGGCTCTGTTGACAAAAATTGACATAAGACTTTTGGCTATAGGCGTTTGTAGCGCTATTGGTCGTAGTGCGTTAGGTTGCGTTGGCGCCTTGTTGGGTTTGGTCAGAAAGACGATCCAGCCGCTGCGCCATTGTTCAGGAAGGTGACCTTCACAGAACCATGTGGAGCACCAGCCCGCCAGTAGTTCCCCAAGAGTCGAGGCGAGCTCCTTCCAGAGAAAGCTAGGCGCTATATGTTGTGGTACGGCCTTTCGTCCTTCCAAGTGACTCAGTTCATTGGCTATCTCATCCGCCGTCACTGTATATAAGCGGGGGCAGATTGAATGAAGGAAAATGGACCGGGTTGTCTTGATACAGGGTTTTCGTGCAACTGTCCAGTTCCTGAAGTTCTTCCTCTGGTGAAAGAAGGTGGCCACGCGAGCCTCGAAGATGTGGTTTTTGTGCAAATGTGTTAGGAGTCAGGTTGTTGATGGTCTTGAAGTCGTAGTGTGTGTTGTTGTTGGCCCAATGCAAAGTAGCAGTATCAATGATGTTCTGAACCCGGGCTCTACGATGGTGAAGGGCAAGTATGCGCGTCTGTTTCCGCCACTTGTTCAATTGTGTGACCCATTTCCAGCCCTGAAGAAAGTCAAGGAGCTGCCGTCTGGTCGTTGGTTGCCATCTTGGAGCTGGAGGATGTGCCAGGGCCCATTGCCATTTTGTAAGCCAACCATCCTGAGCCGGTCGATGGGATGGGCGGAATGTACGACAGGCGTCCAACAAGGTGGCATTGAGAGCATTGGGATCTGGAGAGTTCGGGTCCCACCAAGCCAGTTCATTCTGTAGTATATGGACAACAATGCCCTCCAGTCCAGTGTATCCTGAGCCCAGTGATACTGGAGAGTTTGTTGCTGCATCCGACTCAGCCCTTGAGTTTTGGAGTGATGGTAAAATCGTCTCCAGGGAATACCACAAAGCATGGGTTGGTGGTCATCATGAAGGCCCATCATTTGAGGGAGGTCCTGCAAGTAACTGACATGTTTGGCAGTAGGATCCCCATCTCGTTGTTGGGTCAGAATAAAATCAATCCTTGACGAGGCGTGACGGGGACCTCGATACGTGGCAGGAAGATCCGTTGCCCAGGTGTTGAGCGCAACCATGGAGAAGTCTTTGAGGAGCTGCTGCAGGATGTGTGCATCTTTGTGGTTCGTACCTGTTGAACGACCCTCAGGTGTGGCAAAGTCACTCAGTCCAACACAGTTGGTGCAATGCTTCAGGCTTGTATAAGTCTCCCCCAATTATCCAGCAATTGCGCTTTGGGAGAGCCTTGATGGTCTGATACAGGTTCAGGATGTCGATGCTATAGGTGTGTTTGTATAATCTGATGTGCTGTATTCTGCTTTCCATCGGTGTGGTCCAAGCAATGTTGTGATCAGAACAAAAGTCGGTCCTCGCGATGGTCAACAAACCACCTCTGTGATGTTGAGCTCCTGAGTGGATGTAGGAGAATTGTTGCTCCTTCCATTCACCTGTGAACTGCCATCCGACGTCCTGCAAACAGGCGCAGTCGATGGGTTGCTGGTGAAGCCAAGCCCTGAAGAGGTCCCATTTGGACAGGTTCAACTGACCGATATTCCAGGAGAAGAAGGACACTCGATTCTGTCTAAATCTCACCGACGGTCGACGATTCTGGCTCGATGGGGAACTGTAGGTAGGAGGTTCATGTGTTGCTGATACTGAGGTCATACCATGCAATGTCGCTCGTTTCAAAGCTCTGATGTAGGCTTTTTTCCTGTGCTGTTGGGAATTCCTGTTCATCTGGAGTGCCGTCGTTCTAGGAAGGTCACTGCCATCATGCTTCGTCCGTGATGACGAACTAAAAGGAGCACCACTTGTACGGACTCCCCCACCTTCGATGGCTAAGGTGGAACCCTCGGGGTGCCAGCATGGAGCGTGAATATTGAATGCAAAAGTAGTCATGAGGAGGAGGATCCAAATGGTCCCCCCAAAATCAAAGCTCCTGCCAGGCTGGGAATTGGGACCCAGCTGAGTGATCATGCACAAAGAAATCAATGTCGCGGTACCGTCGAAATCTTAACCTCCCGAATCAATGTCAGGAACCGGTAGCACTGAAGGCGTACGTCAGGAAGTACCCCTCCCAGCCAAGATGCACCAGTCTCTCGCCAGCAGCAGCAGGAAGGCGCTGCAGGACAACCACAGCACCGCCGCGGCCGCCGGTCAGGAGAGGGGTGAAGAGGATCTGGAGCGCTAGTCAAGGAGGAACAGCTTCACCACGACATGCGCTTCAGCGAGCGCGTTTGAACCACTCACAGCCCTTATCATCATCATCATCATCATCATCATCATCATCATCGCCATCATCATCATCTTCGTGTCCTTGCAGACATGACCTGATCATAGCTGCTGCCTCTCGGTGGAAATTCTTTGGGTCATGTTGCTCTCGAGATGATATACGTGGGCGGGCAGGCAAACAGACAGGTGGGGTGACCTCTTTACCATGCTAAACCTGATATTCCGAATCCTGATTTAAAGTAATCAAAACAGACTTGTCGCCGTGAGAGACACCCATGAGCAAGCTAGCCCACTTGAGCGCCAGGTTGCGGTATTCCGGCAGCTGCAGCTGTAGCGGCTGTAGCTGGTTGATGCAAAAATCTCGGAATCTCCATTGGGCAAGAGGACCCTGGACATCGAAACAAAGTTCTTGCCCGAAGTGCACACGGCACTGTCTGCGTTTGAGTGGCTCCAGTGACTCGACTAAATGGGCACCACAAGCGTTCAAGAGGTGAAGTTGTTGGTGAAAGTCTGGGTACAAAAGCTCATATACCAAATACAAAGCCCCCTGACTGATGCAATGTGAACACGTGCAAATTGCAGTACATGTGTCATTTGTGTCGCTTGAATGCACATCCGCATCCGCAAACTCAATTTCAGGGTTTGATGCGATTCAAGTCTTTGAACCACAACATCTTCAACCCTCTTTGAAAACTTTGTAAGCAGAGCGTTGGTCCCTCTCTTTTACTTCGACGTCTCAGTCACTTTGGACCGCAGCGGGGGGGAGCTTTGATCTTCTCGGGTTCCGAATGCCTCTGCCAGGCTCCAAAGTGGGCACGACAAAGTCTTTTCTCACACTGAGCGTGCAAACTCAAACTGCACACTGAGCACACTGCCCCGACTCGAATGCCAGAACAATGTCTTTTTGACCGCCGGCCTGAAACTCAGACATCTCTAGTTCAATCCACTTCCAAATGCAACTGGATCAGCAAACCAAAGTCAAGCAACAAATCGGGACCTCCGAAAGAAGCTGCTGCTTGCTCGTCACTCATGAAGTATCCTGACTTCAAGACCAGCCCTTTACTTTTCTAACGGGTCCGAAAACGTCAAATACTATAGATATACCTGAGAAGGGGGGACGAAAGCCTCCGTAAAAGATATCAATATGGTCATGGGGGGTGAGCCCCCCTTTGATGAGCTTCCCACCTCTTTTCCTATCACATCCTCCCCCGCTACCCCTATCCTCCACATGACCTCCCACCCCATATGGGGTGCCCTTTTGCGTCTGGTCATCAGGCCTCTTCACCGTTAGAAAAGGGCACCCCCAAGCAACTCAAAGCTTGCTCGCTGCATTCTGTTCCCTCTTCTGTCCTGAACGGGTCATCGTCTCCTCCACTATGCCTGTCCACATGAACTCCCACCTCATATGGGGTGCCCATATGCGTCTGGCTACGAGGCCTCTTCACCATTAGAAAGGGCGCCCCTGCGAGTTTGGGAGCAATTCAAAGTTTGCCCACTGCATTCTGTTCCCTCTCCGTCCTCAACGGGTCACATCGTTTCTTGCAATCCCTCTTTTCCCATCACGTCCTCCTCCGCTATGCCTGTCTCATCCACACGAACTCCCACCCGATATGGGGTGCCCTTTTGCGTCTGGCTGCTAGGCCTCTTCACCATTAGAAAAGGGCACCCCCAAGCAACTCAAAGCTTGCATTCTGTTCTCTCTCCTGCCCTCAACGGACAACATCGTTTCTTGCAGTCCCTTCCACTCATATTGACCACTAGAAAACGGTGTGTTGGGAGACGTGCACCTCCCTTTTCCTGAAGGAGTACCACCCCCACCCCTGCGGAGACGCACATCTCCCTGTTGCCCCCCTCGACATGAACTCCCACCCCTGGTAGAAGACTGCTTAAATTGCCTCCTGAGCCCCTCATGATGCTAATGATGCACTCTTCGGCGTCAATTACATCACTTGCATCACAACACCCCAAAAACCATACATTTTCACTCCCTTGCGGATCTCCCACACCAGATTGGCCCTCTATGCGACCACCCCCCCCCACACCCCCTAATACTCACTTCGTTTGCCCATCGGCAACTCCAGCTTTCGTAATTACATAATGGTTTTGAAAAATCAATATATTATATATGTTATATTGATATATATATATATATATCGTATTATGTAATATGTTAAATTACTATTTTGTGTTACATATTTATATATATATATATGTATATATATATATAATTGATATATATATATATATAATTGTATTTAAAAGAATATATATATATTATTATATATTATAACGCTCGCTCCGAGCCTTGTTCAAACCACCTTCCAACTTGTTGAGCAGCACTTAGCTCAGGGTCCTCAGGCACATGACCACGATCTGAACGGGAGCACCTAGATTGGACCAAGTTCCGCTCCCACTCGTGGCGTGTATCTGGCCCCTGGAGGGCAAACCGGTCATTTTTTCGCTTGTCAAGTGTCAGGTTCAGCCGGTTTCATCATGACATTCTACCCCTTGATGGTTCTTCATTTTCAAACTTGCATCTTGCAGTGCGAAAAAGGGGAAAAGTATGAAGTGCAAGCCATGCCTCCTCATTCACAGTACTGCTTTTGGGAAAGCAGCGACCGCTGACCGGGCACACCAGGAAGCAGTCATCTGGAGAAGCCACCTTCACTGAATGATGCATTTTTGTTTGAAAGGGGTTAAGGCCGAAACCCATGTACAGTAAGCATCCTTTTTTCTGCTTTGCTCTGCTGAGCGCACGCAACCGGCGCAGGGTATGTTCTGAAGGCACTGATGCAAATTGCCACTGGCCTTTCCGTGCTTTTGGCTGTCTTCTTTGCCATCACAAACGAGCTGATATATGATCTGCAAAGAAATGCCACCTCGCACAGGAACATGTCGCCATTCTCAAAGTTCAGCCGGTGCAACCTGAGACAAATTCCAGAAGGTGGCTATGTACTACACATGATTGTCTAATTCCATCAACAGGCTGGGAATGGCTGGGTAGTTGGCCGACAATTGCTGTTGCACGTGTGTTGAGCATCTGCTTGAATTGGCACCTTATGGCATTCTACATCTACTTGTATCCATGGTGAAAAGCCGTGGTGATACCATGAGAGATCGAAACATTGCAGAGCTTGCTTCCCCTCTGGGCATTGAACTCTCAGTCCTTGTTGAAATAGGTCCTCCAATGATGGCTGTTCAACTAGGTGCTTGTAAAGGCACCGGACTCTCATGATTACTTTTTCCACATTCCTGACCGTGCTATCACTATCTATGACTGGAATACGCCAGTCCTTACGGCAATCACAGATGGCCTGCTGCAAGTTTGACTCAAATGTTGACCTTATGGTGCCAAGATTCAAGCTGTCCAAGCCCTGTCTGTAGCCTGATTCCAAGGCGTGGTATAGGTATAGGCGGCATCTGATTAGGAACAACCCTCGGAAAATCTGAGGATGCGATAAGATGCGACATCTTCAAGTCAACTCCTGCTTTAGTACGGGGGAACTTAAGTTTCCCTAAAAATCTAGGAACCAATGAATAGTGGAAGCACTTCTTCAAGGAAGCATGAGCCATCCTGCGTCCATGCTAGTAGCGTACTAGTAAGGTACTAGCTACCTCTCCCTTACTTAATTAAGTAGGCCCCTACTTAATAAAGCTAAGTAGGGGGAGCGGGCTTTAAAAAAGAATGTTTGACTCCCATGCCCCAGCCTCCACACACCTCTCACAAACAAGAGGACTTGCGCAAACTTACTGTTGTTCTTACAGTCAGTATACTCCTCGATCCTGCAAAAACAAAACACAACGTCTAGGGATGTCCAGGGAGCATCTCACGAGCTACACTCCATCTCAAACCAAAAACGAGTGGTGGCCATGGCCAACGGTGAAGGGTCTCATCAGGGGATGTATTAGGTACCATGTACAAGATCTACGCAGCAACGCACCAAAAATGTCTGTGTATATTCCTTCATCAAATGTTATCCTTTAAACGAGCTTCACTACATAGGCTCCTCGTTTACAAGGACATCGTCCTTTCTCAAAACAAAATATCAACTTAACAATATTAATATTCTCCAAAAACAAATGTGTCGTGAAGCATGCTCATGTTTCTTCATATGAACCTTTGTCCTTTGTATTTGGATAGGGTCTGTGTTTACAAAAGAACATCATATATATGCAGTATATATAATCGCGTCTAAGTTTACAACTGCCCTCTCCTTTACAACCGCCGTTTCCTTCATGAAACTACTGATATACATATAGTTAATTAACAATAATTAATGTTCTCCTTGTGTGAAAATGTGTTTAGCAAAGTCTTTGTTCACATATGAAAATATGGTTCTTGCCAGTTCTTGCCCATGTCTTTCCTTCCCAAGCCTCCTTGTTTGAAAGGTTTTCTGTGTCAAAGGTCTCCTCTGTTGAGTATATATGGGTTTGTCTTGGGCAAAACCAATTAGAAGTGATATATTCAAGCATATGCAGCGCCCCCGAATCCTAGCCTGCAACGTTACGTTACCTGATCGAATTTCTCATACGTGTTGGGCCCAGTGAAGTCCATATACTTGAAGCATATTGAGGGATTTCATTTACTTGCAGTGATTCTGCACCTACTCCGCTGGGTAGATTCTATAAATTAGATCCAACCGTGTGCAGTGAGTCTGCACCTAGGCCTTAATCACTGGATGTGTTTGAATTTATCAGGCTGCTCGATATTGACTTTTACTCGTGCAGTTATTGAATTGTTTGCCCTTGTTCTGTTTTTGTTGAGCTTCTGACATAGCAATGCACGTGAATAGTGAGCAAACAAATGCCAAAAAAGATATGGTATCCCTTCCCAAGCCAAATTGAAAGAGCCTCTGAATACTCATCGAAACTTATTGAAACGCACTGCAAACACTTGTACCAATGAACTATTTAAGAAATATATATATGATGTACAGCATGTGTATTGCTATGTTGTAATAATCAATATTATCTATATATGTGTATAACAGGCTGATGTCTGTTTGGTAGGGGGAACCGCATACATTGAAATTGTACAGTATATATTCATGATGAAGCTTCTTGTCTAAGTGCTTCACAAGGCATCTGGCGGTGGTTTCAGTTTTTGTACCTGGCTGGCACTGAATCGTGCAAAACTGCAAAGGAGCGCAAACCAATAAGCCCGCGGCAGCATTAAAATCTAGCCAATCCTCCTGGCCATACCGGCTGTGCTCAAAATGCTGCATGAGCCTACAAACCAAACCATACTTGTGAAAAATGAAAATGGCCTCCAAAGCATCCTCCTGTCAATTTCATTCTGCGAGGCAAAGCACACTGTGCACCTTTCATCGCATGCATTTCAATAAAACATGCCAGTTCTTCCGTGTGGTTGCCTCTCGCCCACTGGGCTCGGAAAAGCACTCGCCATGGTTGAGAAAAATCACCAAAGATTGCCTAGTCATGGTTGGGTGGCCATTATCAACACCGGTATGTGACCAATCAATAGTCATAAACAAACACCTGTATTATAAATCTGCTTGCCCCAAGCATCAAAGGCAAACTCTCATCTTGTTTGCATCATCTACTACAGCCACCCTTACATGGTTTTTGCCAAGAAACAATAGCTGGCACCGTCAATAGATTCCTATCATGAAAGCTGTTCACTGAAGACATCCCACTCATCACAAATGAAGGACTCTAGAAAAACATTGACATGGCCCTGGGTCCAGGATGCGACTACACTATCAATAGCAATATGGCAATGTGACTGTTTTACTTGTCCAATCAAGCTGGCATGGGGACGTCATGCACTGGCGTGGCACTTCAGTCCAATAAAACAAGTGCGAACAGTTCAGCTCAGCATCGTTTGGTGGAATGCAAGTTTTGAGGAGTGTCACATGTTCGGAGACATCTCCCTGCTCCTGAGGGGATGGGGTGCTTTATGCTTGGCGTTGAACCCTGAGAATCTTCAGCGGATTTCTTAAGCAGAACTCCGTTGTTCGGTTTCTGCACTCGCTCAAGACCTATCTTTATTCTTTGAAGTTCCTTATGTGGGTTTGTTTGTAATGTCCTAGTGACAATCCCTGAATTGTACATGAATCACATGAAGTTGCTAACTCGCGGGGGTTGCAGCACAGGGTTTTGTTTGCTTGTGTGGCTCACTCTAACTCACTCTAGCTCCTCTAGGCCTCTAGGCAAGCATGCAAAAGATTGATTTTTCTTACTCCTTGGACGTCGGCGTATGCTGCTGTAATCTTCCAGCGACTTGCCACACAGAGCTACAATTACAATATATGTGTACAAACCTGATGGAAGAGCTGAGTCCATGATAATTTGCTTCGTTCCAGGTGTCCTTCTCAAGTTTAAAAACGACCTGAATTTTGTGACGAAAAAGGCACTGCACTGCGGCACTGCACTTATGATAAACATTCTAAAAAGCTTTGGCACTGTCACAGCTCCTTACTAAAAAGTCACGGTGTCAGTTCGTTAGTCACCCACTGGCTCTGCGGAAGATGTTCTGTATTTCTACCAAAAGTCAGAAAGGAAAAGGAAGGAGATGATGTGAAAAACAACGTTGATAGTTTGTTGGAAAAGAATACTAGCGCGAACCTAAGCAGGCACGGATCTTTCGCGGATGATTTGGACAGCATTCAGAAGGCCGCCTGCTATAAAACCCCTTACACGCCTCTTGTCAAGGTATATATAGTATATAGTTGTATTTATATATGAATCTGGACCTATCATCTAGAATGTACCCATTGACAAAAGCTATTTTTCCAAAATAGGCTTTGCAGTGACTAATCAATACCCATGAATAAAGCTATCTGTCCAGAGTGTTTCTTTTCCTGGATCACCCCAGAACTGCGAGGGATTTGCATGGGTTCCCGATAAGTTCTTGGATATTGAGAAGGACGTTGAATCAAATCCCATGTGGATTTGATGCATGTGGATTCCCTTTCACCAATTCACAATCCCAAACCAAAAAGAATCCTGATTCCTGTGCCAATACTCTTTTAAAACTGCTTCTGGGGCTGGTTTTGGGCCGAGGCTTACCTTTATCGTTCCATGATGTGGGGAGGTGCCCTTTTCTATTATATAACTATGTGTCGACATTATGTCATACAAATTATACAGAGCCTCCCATCGTTGAGCCAGTCTCGGCCATGTTGTGGAGAAGTAGACCTGTTAAGCTGGAAGCAGCCGCAACAAGCAGGTTTCAGTCGAGGTTTTGCTCAAATATATTGGATGGACCACAAGCTTGCCTGCCAGAGTGTATCTTCCAACTCCAGCAATCGCCACGCGCGGCACCTCACGAACAAAATAACGGAGGTTCAACGTTCAAAAAACTTTGCACCTCAGGGCCATGCAACAAGGAGTATGCCACCAGTTCTGACCAAAGTAGAAAGCTTGCAACGCCTAATCGGACCTTGCGAAGCTCTGTCCGGCAGTCATCTCAGGTCGGTGTGCCTGAGTTGTCGTGCCTCCAGTGGCCACCGTACCAACTCCCCATGAGCCTGGCACCATTCGCAGTCACTTCTTGGATCTGCACTGCATCATTCATCAGCTTTCTACTCCCTACGCGTCTCCCATTCACACTCCAACCTGGTAGGCTTCAACTTCACTCCCTGCGCTCCCATACTTGTGATCACAAAGACTGTTTTCCAAGGCCCGCAAAAAATCCTGCAGTTGTCCCAGACAGGTGCAGCTTGAGACACGGTAACAAAGGAAGGCTTTCGAATAAATCGCAAAAATTGAGCTAGTCCTCATTATCCTCTTCTTCCTCTGAATCTTCAAAGCCCCTTAGCAAACAAGCAAAGCCACAAAATGTCAGAGGCTGTCTACCCTTGGCCTTAGTCCAAGGCTGATCCATTTGAAGTTTGGATAGTCATGGTCGTTGTCGAGGTTTCAACAACCTTGTTTGCAACCCGCAAAATGATTGACAATTCCCTAGGGTGCGGCCCGAATGTCTACACCCGCCTTGATTGCTACGCAGTTTGCACGAGGCATATATCAAAGCCGGACAAATTTCATCAGTTGCGGCGTATGCCGATGAAATTTGTTAGGAATTTCCGGCATAAAGTGTTTGGCATTGCATACCATGGTAACCTTTCCTTTGCCACCTGCCATCTATTGTACTTTTGTATGGTTTTGTGGGCGGCCAATTGTCGTGCTTGTGGTGATGTGCCCCAATCATCATCGAGACTTGTTGTCGGGCAATTGTTGTCGGGACTGCAAAATCTTCGTGGCAAGTTGTGAAACTCTTCCATCTGCGGTGATTTATGGTACTGTTCTGATAGGCGGATCTCTGGTGTAGTGTGTTCTGTAGAGTATGATGGTGATTGGTGGTGACTTGTAGGAATACACTGTGATGATTGGTGGTTGTTTCTAGTGATCTGTTGTGATGGCGATCTAGACTCTCTAAACTCTAGACGGCCTCTGCTCAAACTGCACATCCAATGATGGAAGCCTCTCAAGTGCTAAGCCACACCACATACTGGTACATGTTTCTCATGAACCTATGCGAGAACCTAACCTGCACTGGCATCAAATCTCTCCATGTGTGTTGTGCACGATGATGCAAAGAGACATGCAACTAAGTAGATTGAACTCTATAAGCAACTGACTACACAGGGGATTGCCATGCAGCGAAGGATGCAAATAGAGCATGTCAGGAAAAATGCACGTCAAACGCCGAGCATAAAATGTTTGCTCTATGCACTTTGCCAACAGTATGCAATGTTCCTTTCTTGACCTGAGCCTTGGACGAGCTCACTAGCTTCAGCTTAATTGCATGGGCAAAGAAGCATTGAGCCAGATCAGCAAGGACTAGCGGCTAAACCTTTCACAGAGACCAACTCGACTAGCGATTAGTTGCGTTGGCTCAAGGGTTCACAAATATGCGCCAATGCCACTGACAGCGAGCAAGACTTTTAGTGTCCCAACGACTGTACAGTACATAAATACACCAGGCATCAACCTGGGCAAACAGTATTGACAGTCAATAATGTCAACAACATTAAAGAGACATGCATCTCGGCCGACAATCGTTGGTTGTGCTGAAGACAGTTCTAAATTATAAACAGGTCATCACTGCTTTGCCACTCCCTGGCTTGCAATTCTCTGCAAGACAAACCCCACACATTGCTTCACACCAAAGTTCAACAAACTCGTGTCTGGTGAAGCAGTAAAGAGAGGAGGCCAACGAGTCCAAAGCACAGGACTCCGAGGAATTTCAATCCGTATCTGGTCCTCCATTGATCTGTACAAACCAAGGGTCTGCCCTGGTCCAGCTGCTCTTCATTTCCAATCCCTCAGAATAGGAATACGCCTGGATTCAATGCGCCTGCCATCATAATTGATTGAACTGCTTGTCATCAAGAGTGCAAGTGCTGCTGATTATGCCAAAAGATTCAAGATCGTGCTCATGCAGATGGAGGCGCAGGCGCGAATTTTCCTCCAATTTGCACAGCAAGCTTAGGGGCAGCACTCAAAGGTGTAGAAAATAACCTCATCCTTCCCCCCACATCGAGTGTTTGCTGAGACTCTTCTCTTCAGACGGTTTGGTCCACTAAGAGCGGCCAGAAGAGCAGCCTGGCTGAATGAAGTTCATGATTGAAGTCTCATGCAGGGCAAGTCAGTGCTTCACTCTGACTCACTAACATCGAAGTGGACAATTGGCCCCCGGAAAATCATTTTGCTCTACAAAGAGATGGCTTTCCACTTCCATGCTAGTGAGTCGGAGAGTATCCTTCCAGCCTTTCGTCTTGAAGCCAGCGTCTGCAAACCTTCAGAGCAAACGACCTAAGTGTCTATCAAGGTCTTCAAAAAAGAGCAGGACCACCTGTCTGGAAGGAGACAATTCCCTAAATTGCACTGAAGCCGACCTCAAAGAACAGCATTCGATTGTCCGCAGGATCGGCCAAAAGATAGCGTGTTATCGCTGGAATGGTCATCTCATCGGCGAGCAGTAAGGAGCCTTCATTGAGGAAGCCTCCATCCACGCAAAGACGTCTCATACCTCCACAAAAGCGGCAGATTGGGTGGCAAAATAAATTGCAAGGCTGCCAAGTTCTGCATGAAAATCACAAATGTTTGGTTTGGCAAGACTTGGTTTAAGGCTTAAGTTTAAGGCAGTCACCGATCAGCTCCACACCCTGGAAGTCATCCTTTATCTGTGCAGCTGATCGCAACTGATCAGCAGGTACGTTGAACTGCCTTGAAATGCGCGCACCAATCAATGATGTCGTGCACAACTCACTCATTCACACCAAAAATCCTAAGCCCTCAACTTTGTTAGAAAACTCATTGTTTTCTCACAACGTGCTTTTGCCAAAGGCTCCTTTCGCATCAACAGCATCAACAGTGGCTGCCACTGACTCTACGCTCTACACTATCAAGTGTGATGACTGCGATGACTATGACGGACCCCCACAAAGGGATGGATATGTGTTCCGTAATTGTTTTTCAATGTTTTTCATATTTTTCCGGTAATTTTTTCACATTTTTCCCCTACTGTTCTTGCTTTTGCTTCTGCTGGGAGTGCTTTACAAGCACTAGGAGCAGCAGAAAGGGCAGGGGACGAAGCACCAAAGCCAGCGTGACAGTGACAAAGGGAGGGACTTCTTTGCGGTTGTCTTTAGCTTCACTGGTTTCGGGTTTCTTTGGGCTCGGTTTCTTGTCTTTAGGATTTCTTTAGGCGTTCTTCCGGAAAAGACATCCCACTTAACGAAGGAGAAGTAGGAGGAGAGAGGAACTATAATAGGGACTTTTCTGCGGTTGTCTTTGGGCTTCAGTGGTTTCGGGTTTCTTTGGGCTAAGCAAAGTAGAAATCCACCTTTGTGGCAGCGTCAACGCAAAGAAAATAGTAGTTGTGGTAACTGTGGTAAGACTCGTAGCGGGGTGGTCCGAGTGATAGAGGTATTGGAAATAGTAGGGGTGGTGGACGGTAGTGGCAACTATACAGAAAAACGGGAGGGGGTGCGGGGGAGGGCGCAGCGTCTCCCCCACAATGCAAATCAAATATATACAGCGCTGGGCTGCTTCGTTTCTTGATTGGTGTAATTGGGTGTCAAAGCTCAAGGTGAAGGTCTTATCATCCAACTTTGTGGCAGTGTCAATGCAAAGAAGATACAGTAGTCAGCAGAAGCAAAAGCAGAAGCAAAAGCAAAGGCAGAAGCAAAAAGCAAAAGCAGAAGGAAAAGCAAAAAGCAAAAGCAAAAAGCAAAAGCAAATGCAGAAGCAAAGGCCAAACGCAAAAAGCAAAAGCAGAAGCAAAAAGCAAAAACAGAAGCAAAAACAAAAACAAAAAGCAAAAACAGTAGGGGAAAAACGCGAAAAACAAAAAAAAACGGAAAACACTTGAAAAAAATCCCGGAAAACCAGGGGTTCCCCCACAAAGTCCTGCTGGCGCCAGGACACTTCTCCTCTTTGGGAGCAGCCACGCACTTCTAAGAGACAAGTGCCTGGAGCAATATCACCCCGTTAAACATCATGAATCTGTTGAGAAGTACTTCTGAACCATTTTGGAACTGAATGGATTCCTGAATAGGCCTATGCAGCCTATTCTTTGATCTTGTTCGCAACACAGTCTGGTTGGAGGCCTCGTGGATTCCCGCGAAGCCAGCTAGCTGCGGCAAGCAAAGCACTCTGCCTTCCATCAGTCTGAATTCTGAAAAATTGGAAATTGAACAAGACTCTTGCAAGACTGAGAAGGAGTGAGTTGCCTGTCAAATGCGAGCTCTTCTACTTCCTGTCCTCCACAAAACATTGACACCACTGGCAACACAAGCACAGCAATCGAGGCTTCATGGTCCTTTGTACGCACGGCCAACTGAGGCCGAACCCCGAGCAAACCAAATGTGGTCTGAAAAAGCCGGAGGTGCTACAATTGGTGCTGTAGAAGTAGAGGTGCTTCCTGGCATGACAAATCGACCGTGCCATCGTGATTTCCAGGCTCATATGCAATGGATTTGTTGGGTCCACAGCCCTCATGCATCAAAGAGCACTGTGATCATTGCGCATGTTGGAACTTCAGTGTGAACTTCAGTGTTTTTCTCAGGAACAAATGGCGGAGGGCGCTCCCTAATTCTGGCAACGCCATACTTGATACAGTATATATGTAGCCAGCGGCTAGCTTTAGCATGCTGCTAGCCTCCGCTCATAAGCTGCTTTAAGCTGCTTCCCAAGGTCGATTTGGAGCGGTCGTTTACGGTGTTGATCGACTTTTGCAACGCTCAGGCAAAAATTAAACCAGCATAGACCCAGATAGCTAGGCAGAATCCCACGACCTGTTGACATGCGACTGGCTGGAACAAGAATGTACGCAGCCTGCTCAGCCAGCTTACGGCACCTCCACAGCGCGCACAACCAGCTGACACCAGCACCGCTGCACTTTGCCAGCTGACAACACCGGCAGCGGCACCAGCACCCGACCAGCGCCGCCGCCCGCCTTAAACGCGCGCTCAGCCAGCTCACAGCGCCAGCACCCAGGACCACAACACCAGCACCAGCACCGACACCGTTTCGAAAGCGCGCGCAGCCAGCTCATTCTTATTTGCAGTAAGAACCCCATAGCTATCCCTACATGGGGTATAACAACGTATGATCTTGCGCGCAAGTGTCATTGGCCCAAGGCCAAGCAGTATCCAGCGCCACTATTGATTTTGTGGCGCGCTTGAAGCAACGATCTGTAGAACGATAAGGCCGTACCTGCCGTACCCGGCACCGGCACCCTGTCTCCACCACGCGCGCAGCCAGCTCACAGCACCAGCACCAGCACCGGCGCCCTGTCTCCACAGCACCAGCACCAGCACCGGCACCCGGCACCCAGCACCGGCACCATGTCTCCACCACGCGCACAGCCAGCTCACAGCACCAGCACCAGCACCGGCACCTGGTCTCCACCGGCGCACAGCCAGCACAGCACCGGCACCAGCACCCTATCTCCACTACGCGCACAGCCAGCTCACAGCACCAGCACCAGCACCGGCACCCAGCACCGGCACCGTGTCTCCACCACGTGCACACCCAGCTCAAAGCACCACCACCAGCACCAGCGCCGGCAACCTGTCTCGAAAGCGCGCGCAGGCAGCTCATTGTTGTTTGAAGTAAGAACCCCAGAGCTTCGCTATCTGGGGAATAAACATTACGGTGCTTTTAGCAATTATTGAGTGAACATGTCACTGCTAGCAACATGCTTAAAGCTGCTTAAATACCGGTGTTTGGGGCAGCAAACTTGTAAGAAACGCTGCAAAAACAATGGTTGCAAACAGTATCAAACAGTCGCGTCCACCATTGCCGTTTGGCTTGCCGAGGTTCAGAAAGTCGCTCTAGGTTGTGTTCCGACGGTTGAAAGAATTGTGAAACCACCACCTGTACGATGGTTTTTGGCATCTAAAAATAGAAGAAGAGGCCTAACAAAAACATGTGCTATGATGCTCTATGATGATATCTATGATTCTATGATGTCTTATCTGACCAAAGGTCTGGGAAGGATATATATATATATTTTTTTGCTTGATACAGTGAGAAAGATCAAATGCCAAGTAGTTTTCCTAACTCGAATTTTGCAAAACACACACCGACAACAGAATCAACAACCCTTATGGCATCACCGGTTTGCGAAGCTCTACAATAAACCTCCCCACCAGTCTACACGCTTTCCCCCTGCTACTTGTCAGATTGGAGCGTATCCAATGGCCAAGCCAGCGATCTATGAACAATCAAGGATAATCAAGGTATATTATCAAGGTAGTCCAGAGACCAAAGCGGTTTTCACTGTTTTCACTGGTTGGACTTTGGCATGCTTTGGCTATGCCTACCTTTTAGCTTGACTTTGTCTTTGGCTTGGATTAGTTTTGGCTTGAAGACACGGCGCAAGACGTTCGTTGTGACTGCGACACAGCAATGAACCAGCGAAGATATGCGGCACAAACAAGAACCTGTGCAAGACTCTTGCAGAGACTACATATCCCGATACATCATGAGATAGGGAAACTCGAGTATATAATGTTTCTCATAAGCCTCGTATTACTACATGAGCGGCATTCAAAGGTATAGTCATTGAACTTTGTCGTAAGGATTTGCTTACGCGTGCACTCACGAAATGCTTATGCGCCTCAGGTTTCAGCCTCAGCTTACCTTTTTGGAGCTTACGCGAGCAGCTGAAAGAGAATCTGGATCATGCCACAGCGGCAGCCTACCCGCCACCTACACCGTTACGCAACATGTTTATTTCTCATAAATGCGCTTACGCAAGCTTACGCGATCCTGTGTTCTGTTTGGCTTATGCATGGCTGCCCTATGACACAACATGTTCATCTTGAGACTATCAAGGCTCTGACCGATTCTGACCATTGCTCCATGTGCTGTCACTGGTTGCAGAAACATTTTCTCCATGTTGCCTCCTGGTCCTGCTTTGCCTCCTGCTTTGTCTGATTTGTCTTTGTGCACGACTTTGGCACTCCAGCCTTAGGGAGACGAATCTTGCCCTTTCTAGTACTGCTGGCGGGACCCCCAAAAAAAACGGTTCTGTTTTTTTTCTGCCCTGCACTGCAGGAAGACATGGAAATTGTAAAAACACCCTGGCAATCCCTGCCATCCGCCGCTCTCAATGTCGGGACTGATGGTTGTGAATGAATAACGGATACAAACGACGACCACACAACGAGCACTCGTAGAGAGCGATAACTCTAAAACAGTCCGCTCCTAGCTTGAAGAAACAATTGCTGTTGTTCGCTTTCACACTTGTATGTTGAAAGGATTGTTATGGGACGTTATGGGATGTTATGAGTTTGTTTATGTTTGTTTTTGTTGCCTTCGCACAAACAAATCCAACGATATATATATATATCAAGTCAGCTCTTTCTAGGACGACGAGGTCCTCGGAACAATGGACAATAGAGAAAAACACTATTCTCATTGGGTACGTATGTGTTTGCTGATCTCACGATGTCTCCAGTAAGTTTGATTATATCTGTTCATGACTTTTAAGTTGAGATTCAATGGAGCAAACCAGTTCGGATTCATTATGACCTGGGCGTCCTCCTATGGCTTGGTTGGCCTGTAGACTTCAGTGTTTGTCCGTTTTATCACCGCGCTGCTGCACAGGTGCATCATACGATTGTAAACCATCGGTGTCAAACATACAGTACTGGGCAGTTGAGTTGGCATCGTTTCCGGGCTGAAGCAAGTCGAGCTTCCACTTCTGCTCATGTACAGTATATAATTGAATCGTGTACAGGGGCCACCTCTGAATCGAACTGAATCTTGCAATAATATTTGCAAGGATGTTTTGCTCCAAGCTGCTACACTCGGAATCAGGTGTGCAAGCTGATCGAGGCCTTGTGCCGACCAAGCATGTTCCATCATGTCAACGGAAGTTTCAATGAGTCTTCAAAGACACAATAGCAGCTCAACAATGCACCTGCGTGAATGGCGCCGCAGAATTGATGCTGCCAGGCCTGCTAATCAATGAAGAGAGTTATATCTGTTGCGATTCGATTATGAACTAATAAAAAGGTTTTTTGCCGTAGCTGCAACTAACAAATTTAACAGCGGCTAGCAGCGCAGTTGACTCGAACTGTTCAAACACTTCAACTACGCGTCGCTAAAGCTCCAAGGCGGCCCCAATCCCTTTGTGAATTGCAAACGGAGTTGGGGGGAGGGACTGGAAAGCAAAAACGGAAGCAGGGATTAGGGTCCAAGAGCTGGGGAGCAGGCAGGAGGAAAGCTCATCAGAACTACAAAAAATGTCCTTCCCAACACAAAGGCGTCACCTGCCGCACTATTGGTCCTACTAAGTACTACTGCATGGAAGGAATTGTAGCAAGAACCAGAAACACACCACAAACGCAACAGCACGGAAACGTTCTGCTAAGTATGTGCAACTGCCTGTCGCCTTGCTCGTGTTTGCGCCGCGTAGACTGAATGCTGTGCGACAGAGCCACAAGACAACGACAGGTGTATATGTTGTTTGCCGATGCAGAAGCACCCTGCTAAGTACACACAAATGGCTGTGGCATTGCTGCGCATAGGATCCTTTTACGGCGCGTAGAAACAATGCTTCGAAACAAGGGCAGAAAGCACACCACAAGCGCAAAAGCTGTTGAAACGCAAAAACGTCCTGCTAGGTACACGCAACTGCATGTGGCATAGCTGTTCCTAAAACATCCGTACGGATTGGAAACCGTACCCTGCTTTGCATGTTCTCATGTTCTCGTGAAAAGCGGCCGTTTCGCAACACCTGAAGTTGATAGTCTTTTTTGGTCAGTAGCTCTCCACAGTCAGGCTCCGATCGCACATCTTTTTGACAGATGCCAGTGTCGAGCAATTCAGCGGCGGCGCAAAGCGGCGCCGGTCTTCTTCAGCAAGTCGGAACCTTGTGTCCAACGCCAATGCCGCATACGCACGTAGCAGCGGAGCCAATCGCTCAAAGCTCCGGAGCGAAATGAGCTTTAGCCACATGTCTGTTTTTTGGTTCAAGTTCATCCGGCCAGACTGTGTGTGTGACTGGGTGTTTGTGCCAAATGTTATGTTGTTGTACACATATACTTTCAGACCTGGCCTTCTCGGTCGCGTGAAGACACGCGATGAGGTACAGCTGCTTTCAGCAGGAGCCACATCGAGTCCACGTAGCCCGTGCAAGGAACGTCTGGAGCCACGGCGCAGATTGAATGCAAAAAGTCCGGTCGCGTGGTTGCACTGATAATTCTTGGGCCATGCTGCCGGGCGAGCTTTGGATACAGTTGAGCTGCAGGCTCCTAGATGAGCAACCAATCCTCCACTGAAAAACACACGTCGACAAGGATCTGATGCCGCCGCGGAGGTGTCACAAAAGCACGCCGAGAGGACTGCGGTCGAGAACGAGAGGATGCCCGTAAACTCCGTAAACGTAAGCGGCCACGCAAAGGCAAAGGTGCATCCGACATGGAGCTACGCAACAAACGCCAACTCAAAACCAAAAGAAAAGGAGTCAGTTTCTGTTTTTTCGACAACGAAAACCTCAACCGCACATTGCACCACAGTGTGAACAACGAAAAACGAGTTTCTAACACCTGATCCCAGTTTACCCAGCAACGGTCTGAATCCAAAACTGTTTCGTGAACAAAAGCAAGAATGGGGTCAGAACAAACACGAGTTAACGTACTGGTCTAAAGAAAAAGGGTTGACGCACCACAAAGGAAGAAGACGCAAAAAACGAGGAGGGCAGCGAACACTCGACAACCGAAACAACAAAACTAAAGCGCACACCGTGGCTACTTCTTGGGCCTTCATGCTCACGCAAAGTATGTGAACACAAGAACGAAATGACACTCGAACCTCCCCCTCCCCCCCACTCGCCCCCCCTAACCCCAACAACATGTGAAGACATCACCCAGCGTCGTGGAATCCAAAAATGTCCAAAAATGTCTCAAAAGTGGGTCCGGTTTTTCAGTCCCTAGGCTAAAACATGTTGCGTTCGAATGGAGGCAGGAGCATGCCACAAGCACAAAAGCTGTTGTCAGCGCAGACATGTCCTGCAACTGCCTGCACCCTTGCTGTACGTACAATGTGTTTTGCGCTGCGTAGAAAAACTGCTTCGTAGCAGCGGAAAAAAGCTCACTACTGTTACTTACTAGGCGCAAAAGCTGCTGCCGGTGCAGAAACGTCCTGCTAGATACACCAAACTGCCTCGTGCTACACAACGACTATAAAGTTTTATAGTGTAGAATGAGGCCCACCACAATGAAAGACTGCCTGTGGCATCGTGGCACATCTAACTTTTTCATTGCAGCGTAAAAGGGATGCTCCACAACAGAGCGCAATACATGATTGCGCTGATTAGAATGACGGCTTCGTAGCGGCGACAAATGGCACACTACATGCCTACATGCGAACAAGCTGTCGCGGTTGCAGAAACGTCATGCTAAGTACACGCACGCAGGTACCTTCCTGCTAGGTACGCACAACTGCCTGTAGCCTTGCTGCCCATACAATATGTTTTGCGGCGCTGCGATTCGCCCAGGGTTCCAAGGTTCCAGGGTGGCACCTGACAGGGTTCCGAGCAAGGGCTCCAACGTGGGCGCCGGTGACAAAATTTTGTACCACTCCCAGCCCCAGAGAATGAAACCCAACATTTTGCTGTTGGGAGTGTTGTGTGTGTACAAAAACAAAAAAAAATATATATATATATAACATGTATATATATACACATACTATACTGTTTTTGATCCTCTGCTCTACTTGGTTTGCGGCCATTTTCAAAGACAAACCAGGTCGAGCCTCAAGCCCGCACAAACTGCAAGATCTAAAGCGCAAACAAACCAACGCCAGCCAGGCTCCACGGTGGGACACTGGGAAACTAAGCACTGCTACAAAAATCATAGTCTTACAATATCTCCGTTGTGTGTGTTTCTCTGCCCCCCCCCCCGAACGCAGCACAAAAGGATGAAATTCCGGTTCCAAACAGCACCCAGGGTTCCAGGATGGAATTCCGGCTTTCAACTCCCAGCCCCAGAGATTGAAACCCGACTGCATTCTGCTGTTGGGAAAAATACTGCGAGAGTCTCTGCGCACCAGTGCAGCAAATGTGTGCATGAGGACCTTTGTCAAAATCTATTCAAGAGTTGGCATGTCCTTGTCTTGTAGGGTGCAGAGTGATGCTGACAATTGATGCGGTTTGAGGCATGTTGAGGCTCATGCCAACATGCAAGTTATCTTGATGTTCCAAGCTAAGTTTACTGCAGCATATTGTTTTGAAGCTTAGCGACTTGCGGGCCTGAAAGCAATCAAGAAAAAATCAGATCTCATGCACGCATTCTACACGCAAGTTCTTTCAGGATGGTCAAGCTGTGAATCCAATTTATATAAGTTCCTCCACTTCAAAGCAGATCAAAGTCATGACGGGCACTGCCTGATGGAAATCTCTGGCAGCTCCTGGGCCTGCAGAAAAGGTCAGATTTGGCCAATTTTGAACAAGTCACTTCGAGTTCTGTCAGGTTCTACAAGTATCTTACATCTGCACCTGCCATTTGCAGCATCAAATATTCTTCGCTTCTCAGGGTCCCTCAAAGTGTCGTAGGCTTGCCGCAAGTCCTCACACGTCATAAGAACATCAAGCAACCCTTGGACCGTCCATTGGAATTTGCCCTGGGAGCGATGGCTTCGCTCCACAGTGAAAGCCTTGAGAACTTGCATATAGGCCCAGTGAAGCCCTTGGTTCTGATGATCTCCTACTTTTGAGGCCTTGTAGAGTCTTTCAATTTTTGAAAGTGGTTCGCAGTCGAAACGTAGTGGAAATGACAGGGGCAACCTTGCCTTGAAAAGCTGCTCTGCCACATCCCTCTCCTGACAATTGGCGCATCCCACACCACATCGAGAGTTGTCCCTTTGGGGGCATGTAGTGAAGACAATGAAAACGATGTCTTTACGCTGTTGTGTGCTACAATGCCTTCTTGCAAATCCTGGCCACACAAGGCCTGGGGGCCTACTACACGTTGGGCAACTTACTTTTCCCATCTTTTTCAAAGCAGGTTCTGTCTTAATTACCAATGGCCACAAGGCTTGCAGTATAATATACGCTGACAAAGAAGTGCGTGGTCAGGCCTGCATCCTGTGTTTTTTCTACTTTGGTCGCAACATTGTGTTCAACTGGCAGGTTTCTTGCACGGCGTTAGTGCTTCCATGTGTTTCCCGGTGTGTGCAAAGATGATTAATTCAAGTTGCTGATTTGGTTTGACCCTACTGTAGCTCTGTAGCTGTCCTTCACGTCTGCAGAGTTGGTAACTGTAAAGAATAACGGTTCACTGTAAAGAATTATTAAGTCTTAAGTGTTAAATAAGCTCAGCTAAGCTATATAAGCATCTTAAAAGCACGAGGGGCAGGTCATGCTCCGCTAGGTTTCAGATGAAGGGCGCCATGCGTTACTCATGCGAATCCCGGACCACACCTCCACCTCCGCACCCCTCCAGACCCCTCCTCTGGTGGGCGCTTGTCTGGGTGGCATTGCAAGGCCAGCGCGCGGTAGGCTCGCTTGACATCCTCCTGAGCAGCACCCACCTGAAGATTCAGATTGGCCAATATCGCCGCATCCTTGTAAAGAAGCAAAAGAAAAGGTATATACTTCACTTTATGTTCCACAAACTCTTTCGTCAAGCTTTCAGGTGGAACCCAAGAGGCCAAACAGAATTTGAGTCTCGGTTCTTGGAGTTCTCATTTCAGCCTAAACCGACTGCATTCTAGATGACTACCAGCACGATAGTTCGTTTACATGATGTTTTTTGAAATATAATTATGCGAGCGCTCATGCCAAATCAATATTATCATGCAACACTGAATGCATTCCTCTTCTGTGCATTGCAACTTTGTTGGAGGGCCATGAACAAGCGAGATTGATCTTGTATTAGAAAAGGAGTTGGATACTGCGCCTGCAACTCATTTCAGCAAGTACCAAAACCCTTTGTTGGAAAGGGCATCCTCCTGCAGTGGGATTCTTCACTTCAGTAGTCGATCTCCTTTCTGTCCGGTGGTGAGATGTGGTGGATAATATCTGTAAATAATGGATGGAATAAAAAGAGCAAAGAATGATAATAAAATTAACAGACTAACATATAAAGAGAATGATATTTTAAAAAATGACATGAAATCTATTGACCGAGCACCATCACTATCTTTAATATTGGAACTAGAAAATCCCTGGTTAACAATAAATTTCATAAAGAATAAAAGCATGAAAACAAGAGAATGAAAATAAGTACAGGCAATAAAATAACCATGACATCTCAAATAAAAAATACCAATGATACCAATGTAGGATTCACTTGTATAGAAAGCTTTACCAAAATAGAATAAGATATAAATTAAAATGGCGTAAAGAATATAATAAAAAAGAATGATTCCATAAGCCATATCATCTAGCATCTGTCTTTTATAGTTAATGGTCATAAAAGAAAATGAATGACCAATAGAAAGACAATGATGATGAAATCTCATATTAAAATAAATAGACCAAAGATTTCATCATCCACATATAATCAATAAGAAGATACCAGAGCAAAAATAACAAAGACCAACATTATTTTTGCTCCTGGGAACCATTATTTTTACAGTCATAAGGCTTTTATCAGCCAATATTTGTTATGAGATTTAATATGAAAAATAAACGAGGGAATGAATGAAATGAATGAATCCCACCTTTAAAATTAGAGATAGAAGTTGAATGAACATGAAATGAAAGGATATTTTCGTATAGGGAATTTCAATGACTTGGGTGTCTTACCTTCAAAATTAAATAGAAGATGAGCGAAAGACAATTGTCCATGAACGTCCATCCCAAATCCATTGTGAGGGTCGAGAGAAGTGCCCAGTGCTTAGGAAGGCATGCTGCGCCGCACCTGAACGCCCAAAACAAGGTACGGATTTGGAGCCATGGCCTGCATACTGGCCAAGTTGTCCAGCAACATGGAAAAGCCAAAGACAAACAGCTGGCTCTGGACAAAGGGGCAGTAAAAAACGATCTGGTATGATCTCCAAGCCTTCTCTCCGAGCCTCCTCTCTCATCTGGTGTGCACCATGTGCAACGTGAGGCAGGTGAAACCAGACTTCCCACCAAAATACACCAAGGGATCGATGGCTGCTGGAAGTTCAAAGAACGGCACAACTGCTGTTAAGCATGTTCAAGCGCATGGCAGCTCTGTGACTGTGTCTGTGTGAAACTATGTTGCGGTCTTCGCAACTTTTGAGCCAAGTTCAGAAAAGAAAAGGTGTTGGGACGATTGAAGGTTGGGTGGACTTTATATTATAATCCTGAAGCAGCTTCAAAATCCGACCTCTTTTTGGTTGACTCTGCCTCGGTCGCCATGGGCACTATGGTGCGCTGCAAACAAACAAATACACTGCACGGATGCAATCATCGGGCCTCGTGTCCATCGTAGGTTTCGTCTGAGATGAGACTACATACTAATGCTAAATTCCTTGCATGTGTTGTGTTGGGCTTAAGAAATATGACAAGGATGACTTTGCGCTTCAAGAGCTGTTTGCTGATTTTTCTGAACACAGTCGTGCTGACACTAAACTCTCAGGAACGCATGGATACGCATGGTATATCACATGACGAACAACCTGGCCCTTCTTTCCTTGTTTATGATCTCTTTAGGCGGCTCTTTGCTGCAAATGTATGGACACTCTGTCTCGGACAATCTTGTGAGCTCAGTAAGTCAAATGTGCCAAAGCTGCTGGAAGTGGAAGTGCTCGGCGAAATGGCGTGACGGGGGGGCAGCCCTCCTGAACCAACAAAGTTGCTATACTTGTATACAACGATAGCAAAATGATGTTTCAGTTCCACAGCACAATTCTGTTTCACGCCCTTTTACACTGAGGGCAAACGGTACCGGGCAATGTGCACATCCATGTGTTAATGGCAGTTGCTCATGGTAGCGACACGCTCGTAGCGGCTTAAATGGTTCCGTTCACGTTCCTTTCGCACTGGGCACGGTGTGACCAGTGGAACTGCCCGGATAAGGGCATGTGGGAGTCATTCCAACTTCAGCCGAAAAGGGTGATAGCATTCCGGTTTTTGCAGCTATGTGCAAAAAAACAAAACATTCAACATGAACAGTTTTTGGAGCAGGTCGGTGTGGCTGTGCCTATGGAAAGGGAGCCCTCCAATACTGTGTTCGCATGTGTTCGCACTTTTCAGCGAACCCCCTCGTGAATAGTTTGCGAAGAGTCTTCAAGTCAACTCTCAATAGGAACTATATAAAATATGTATATATATATATATGTATGATTTAAACAGTTATAAACAATCCAGAGGCTTTAGATCCAGTCTCAGACTCTAGACTCTACCAAAGATCACGAAGGTAAATTTGCCCACCGTGGCACGAAGTCATGAAGTATGACCAATGACTTGACTCTTGCGCAAACTGGTGACATTGTGCAAAAATGTGCAAACACTTGTCTTGGTGCCATCCTCTTTGGTTGCTTGCGAATGAGTGCAAATTCACCACTGCAGAGTTAGGTTTTAGATGGTTTTAGCCTGCGCGTAATGGAGGCCTTGCGCTTCGAACTTTGAAGTGTTCAAGAGGATTTAAAGACTGAACGTGTCAGGGGGGTCCTTCATGCGAATGGAACGTGTTTCACTAGTCACTAGCCAACGTCCTCCGGCAACATAACCCATTTCATCATATTTCATTGTATGTCCAATGGTTTGGACCAGAAATTGACATGTGGTTTCGAAAGCTTGCTTTGTATACCATATGATGGAGCTGCAGGCTCAGAAGTGAAAAGGGAAGGGAAAAGGGAAGGGAAAGGAAAAGAGAAGGGAAAAGGGAAGGGAAAAGGGAAAGGAAAGGAGAAGGGAAAGGAAGGGAAGGGAAAAGGGAAAGGAAAAGAGAAGGGAAAGGGAAGGGAAAAGGGAAATGAAAAGGGAAAAGGGAAATGAAAAGGGAAAAGGGAAGGGACGTGGGAAAGGAAACGGGAATTGAAAAGGGAATGGAAAAGGGACGTGCAAAAGGGAATGGAAAAGGGCAAGGAAAATGGAAAGGAAAGGAAAACAGGAAGGGGAAGGGGAAGTGAAAAGGTAAGGGAAAAGGGAATGGAAAAGGGACGGGAATAGGGAAGGGGAAAGGGAAAGGGAAAAGGAAGGGAAAGGGAAGGGAAGGGAAGGGGAAGGGGAAGGGGAAGGGGAAGGGGGAAGGGGAAGGAAAAGGGGAAGGGGAAGGGGAAGGGGAAGGGAAGGGAAGGGGAAGGGAAAGGAAATGGAAAGGAACGGGAAAGGGAAAGGGAAAGGGAAAGGGAAGGGAGGGAGACCAGTCAGGCGTTCCAGCTACTACGCAAGCGTCGAAGAACGCTGCGGGGCCGGGTCCTGGGTATTGCATCCAGGGAAGCCACCGACCCCCACGGGTCTTGAGCGGGCTTGGGCCACTGCGGCGGCCACCTCGTGACATTAAGCCTACTCCAGTCCGCTCTGGACACCTTGTGGCTCGAAGGCTGCCTGCTCAGTTTCATTTACCTCGTCACGGAAAGCAAGCGCTCTTCGGGCTCACCCTGGGCTGGCACGAGGCCGGACACACTGGAGATATTGCGCACGGGCCAGAGTATAGGGTGGAGGCCATCGCAGCAAGATTGGGCCCGCGCTACAAGGTTGGAGGCCAGCAAAGCAAGACTGAGGGGGCTCGGGAACACCCTGGGCTCTCACTAAGGAGAGAAACGCTTAGGAAACGCGTACTGAACTGAATGCAACATGCCACACGGCGGCCTAGCCAACCATATTCCTAAGAGCGCAGGCGCAAAGAAACCTGAAAAGGAAAAAGAGTGGAGCCCAACCAAATCACTCTGTACCCTCCATGAGGCCTCCTAAGCCCTCCAAGTTCCGCTTCCCCTCCAGCGATTTAGCTTCGTTGGACAAGGTTCATCGCTGGAGGCCTTGCCCCCCGGCTAATCTACAGCTAAAAATTACTTAAGTCACAGGACACGAATCAACGGATTCCCTGTCATTCCAAGGGTTTCACGCGCACACACTTGAGAAGGTTGCTCCGTGGAGCGCGATTTCAGGCTGCTTCGCGGTGTGCATTAGCCCTTTAGATGAATACTTAGCCCTTGACTTGACGAAACGAAATGAAGTGCAAAGTCCGCTCAATTGAATGTTTCAACAAAATGCATTAGCTCTTTAGAATATGTTAAACAATTGGTGCAGGTACAGGAAACTGGCCAAGTTTCCCTTCCCACTCTTATCCACAGCTTCGTTGCGTGTGATAGGATAAGAGTGTCACACGCCCCTGCTTCTGTACAATGGTCACGAAAGTCCTAGGAAAAGTTAGTAAGAGCTAGTGTAGTGTCCTTGGAAACAGGAGTGGACACACACAAAGAGCCGAATCGGCGCAACTAAATCGGATCAGAAAATACCTGAAGTGTAAATAATGGAAGACCAAGACGTCGAAAAAGGAATTGTAAAGTAAGGTACTATGACTCTGCTGGCGCATCGTCTTTTTCTCGTGGCCGCAGCGCCGCGGCACAGTGTTCCTTTGAATGACCTTTTGGCATATAGAGCTGCATCAACTGCTGTGCTGTGGTAGGTGCGAGCTGCTGTGGAAATGTGTATTTTCGTAGTGTGTGGTGTCGTGACTGTAAGCCTGCAAGCCTGAAAGGCGTAGTCTGTGACTCCCCGCTGACTGCGGAACATGAATCTGCCAGGGATGTGTGGGGAGTTGAAAGGTGACCGTTCTGGTGAGTGGATCAATCAGGCAACCGAGTAAATGGTCGTCGTCCCCTGGCTCTATTTCGACTGGGTGTACATAAAATCGGGATGGGCCAGTGTAGTGATGGGGGCGCTGATCTGTATTGTTCGTTTAGCAAGATACAGCGGGTGTCAACGGAGCGTGTGTTGAGCAAGTGAAGGCTGGGTTGGTGGAAAAAGGTGTGGTATGTGGTTTGCCAGGTATGTACGATGAGTGTGATTGCTACGTGGCAGAGTGCTGGTGAAAGTTGACTGCCAATGCCTGCTCCTTGGCTTTGCTTGTAGTGAGTGTTGCAGGCTTGAAAAATGCATGATTGAAGGGCTTGTTGTACTATCAGGGGGATGTGTTGAGTGTCGAGTGTGCGTTGTTGTGGGTGGTGGATGTAGCGTCGACCGTTGTGGGTGTTGAATGGGAGTGCCGGTGGATTGTATGTCAAGACTGATGGAAAAGATCGCGTGGGTCTTGTCAATGTAGGGTGTGAAGTGGACAAAGTGTAAAAATGCTGTGTGAAGTGTGGTCAAGAATTGTAAAGTGAGATGTGAGATGTGTTGGGTGATGCAGCGCTTGTTGAGCGAGTCAGGCGGCTAATGCCGAACCCGCTGCCACCAGCTGCTGTAGTGAACGTGGTGGTAGCTTAAGCACACGGGTGAGCGGGATGCCATAGCGTGTGGCTGCCTCCTGGAGCTGTTCTTTGGTGATGCGTTCATCTCGAAGAATTTGCTGGATATTGGTGACTTGTGTCTGAGTGGCTGGTGGTAGTGTCTTGAGCCATTTTTGAATGCCTGCTGCCGCGTAGTTGGCTGGTGAGTTGTCTTGTAGTGTTTGAGTGGTGGGGTTGAGAATGGCGTTAGCTGTGAGTGCGGCTGGGGCTGTAAGTGGGAGATGGGGTTGGGAAGCTGATGATGTGGCGGGGTGTGTCCCTGGTTTTGTTGGTGTAAGTGCAATGCCATGAGTCTTCAATTTGTCGCGAGCTCGCTGGAGTTCGCTCTCTTGCTGGTGTAGGCGATCTGTCTGTAGCTGAAGTTTTCGGAGTGCTGTACCTTCGCCTGCGGGTGGTGTGAGGCCTCGTAGGAAGTCAATCATGCGGGAAATGAGTGGTTGCATAAATTGTTTGGCATCTGTCGTTTTGTTTGGAATGGATTGATTAGCTTGTTGGTGTAAAAATTCAGCAATGTTGTCAATGTCCAGGTTGT